AAGAATATGTTAAATAATTAAAAACTCCAAAAATGTATTTGTTTTTTTTTTTTATGGAACATTAAGATTTTATTCCTAAAAAATAAAACTTTAATCCGGAAAAGTCATTATTTTAGTCCTGAAATGTTACAACTTTGTTGATCTTGTTGTTAATTATACTACTTTATTTTATTAATATTAGGACTATAATCTTGAAATGTTGCAATTTTATTATTAAGTTACTTATTTATACTAGAAATATTCAGACTAATTTTGTTCCATAACTACATTGATCGTGTAATTTTAAGGCTTTTTTTCAATAATATTATGACTTCAGTCTTATAACATTTTGTTCTTCTAATGTTTCACCTTTTTTATCTCATAATATCAGAAATGTAAGCTTTTAATGGGATGATTATATTCTCATTATGTTACAACCTTAATTTCGTAATGCTTCGTCTGTGTTCTTGTTACACTTTTATTCTCATAATTATGACTTTAACCTCTTAAAGTTTTGATTTTATTCTTGTAATGTTATAACTATATTCTTGTAATATTGTGGCTTTACTATCATGATGTTCAGGTTTTATTCTGATGTTAAAACTTAATTCTTTTGATGTCCTGACTTTAATCTCATTGACCTGCTATTATGAGTTTACTCTCGTAATATTTCAACTATTTTCATGTTCGTAATATTTCACGTAATATTTCATGTTCATCTAAATAACAAACCAGACTGGACTCTCAACACTGAGGCTCTGAGAAAGGTCAGAGCAGACTCTTCTTGCTGAGGGGGCGCTCCTTAAGACCATCTAGGACTCTGTTGTAGCATCAGCCATCTTCCATGGAGCTGTCTGTTGGAGCAGTGGCTTATCTGTAGCTGAGAGGAAGCAGCTGGATCAGCTGATCAGGAAGTCCAGCTCTGATTGGATGCCCTCTGGACTCAGTGCAGGAGGTGGAAAACAGACGGATCCTAACTAAATGAACATCTCTGTTGGATAATGTCTCCCCCACCCCATGCATGAAGCTGGTGCTGAACTGGAGAGCTCCTTCACTAACAGACTGCTGCACCATAAATGCACCAGGGAGCGTTATCACAGATCCTTCCTCCCAGCAGCTGGAAGACTCTAGAACCACCACTGTTCCCAACAACCTCAATAATTTCTTCCATTCATGCTGATTTTGCACAGTTTCTACCTTAATCAGTTAAATAACATGCTGCTGTCATTTTGCACATCTCTGATGTTGCTGCTATTTTCAAATATCCATTACTGTAAAAATGTCCATAGCTGTATAATTGGTTATTTATTCTCCAGGTGCACAGTTTTTAGCAATAAAACACTTTACAGTACAGTATTTTATTGTTTATCTTTTATCTTGTCACTATTATGTTATTCTTATACATTTTTCCAAAGGTCCACATTTGTGTGACCATCTAAAAAAATATATTTTTGCTGCTGTAAACACCAGAATTTCCCCATTGTGGGACAATAAAGGAACTTTCTACTCTATTTTAGTCTATCAATTTATAAAAACTATAGCTCTTAGTATAGCCCTTATACTCAGTCATACATTAGTGTTTGCAGCAAGATGCTCCATGTCTTCTAAAAGTCGGCTGTGGAGAGGGGGATCTCCTCTGAAATAACCTGCTGAGGTAACAGCATCAGAGCTGTTCTGAAATCGCAACAGGACTTCGGTCAGATGCTCTTCAGATCTGCTGTAAGACAGACTGCTACAGGAGATCCTTCCTGCCTGCAGCTATGAACACTGATGACATTTGGATGAATTCCAGCATCATTTATTTTCCCTTCCAGTTTAATAAAGTTCTGGATGACCCTAAAAATACACCCAAAACTGCAGCTGATGGATTTCTACTAAAGCATAAATATATAAGTTAGAATGTCCAAAATCTTCAGAGGCACTCAGGATCCTGGAGCCATGGTGTTAGAAAGAATGGGGAACGTTTTGGTTATCTGTGTGTGCAAAGCCTGAGAGATGAAAGACTAAAACGCTTGTAAAAAGTTTGGAAAAGTTTGTAAAACTTCAACTTCACAATTATGCTTTACCTGGGTGGTCTATAACATAAAACACCAAAAATCACAATTTTTTTTACACAATTCCAACAATCTTACCTTTAAAAATCTAATGTATGAATCATCTCATGCAAACTAGCGAAAGCTTCAAAATATGAAAATACTTTTGTTTTAGGTATTCATTTTTTGTATTAATCTAAAAAGCTGAGTTAATATTGCTTTTTTTTTTTTTTTTTTACACGTGACATATCCTTTAAATAGCCTAATTTGATGAGGTCTCTGTCATTTCTACTTTGAAATTATTTATGCCCTTTGCTCTGCCCTGAAGCCATGTTCCCATGATGGATCCACAGAGATGGAGAGCAACAGCTTAATATTTATTTGTTTACAAACTTGGAGGTCCAAAATGTCAGCTGCTACAATCTCACACCATCAGGAACACTGAAACATTACACTGTAATCCATAAATGTATTATTTTTTACATAAAAAAAAATGTCAGGAAAAAATAACTACTGTTTAAAGGAAACTGTAGAGAAAATGTGGTTATGATTTTGTCACTTGAACAAAAGTAGTGAATTAAAGTCTGAGGAGTTTAGAAACTTGAGATGGTGGAATTTTCTCCTCCTGTTTATCTGGACCCTCATGGGGCTTCATGGTCCAAGTTCCAGAGGAAAGACTGCGTACAAAGACACAGTGTCTCTACCAGCCAATGTGTCAAAATTCATTTCCTTTGGATCCTCACAGTCGCCACAGTGTGAGACGTCATAAGATCTCAACACTTTCTGAAAGTGCTGCATGCAAACTTCTGGGTTAACCAAACATTCATTTTTTTTATATTGGTAATAAAGATGAGTTTTAAAAATCCTAAAACATTCTGATTAGACCTATTTTAGGGACGGCCTTACCTCGGCTTCACTGCAGCTCCGTCCAGCTTCTCTGCACCAGAATGTGCCTCATCTAAAACCAACTCTGCAGATCCCCCCTCAGAGCAGCTCCTCCCACTCTCACAGGAGTGGCTCCCTCTGAGGTGAAGTCTTTACACCTCACTGCTGTCTCCATGAACTTCACTGCTGTTATAAATGGAAACCAGTGGAGCTGCTTCTAGCTTCTATTCAGAAATGTATGGAGTGAACTTTGTTCAGTAATTGTTGCAGGGATAGAAATCTTGAAAAATATATTAATCAAAATTTTGTTTTGAGAGTAAGTTTGGTAAGACAATTCATGGTTTATTACACTCTGGTTAAATTCTTTGGTTGGATGAAATCTTAGAAATGATAAATCAAGCTGGACCCATACACCAATTTTCAGCCATACTTCAATGCCATTTAATAGTACTTTTCTTTTTATCATACTCAACTGCACATTGCACTGGACCTGACTAAGCCCGTTTGAATGTGTAGAGGATTGACCG